TAGTTTCCCTTCCTGCTGTGCACGCGGTGGCCTCCTCAGATGTGACTTTCCGTCTGCCTTTATTTAAGCCTTGACCAACCGTCCTCAGGATGGGCTCAGTCCGTGGGGGGTTGTTGAGCACATGGGGCCAAGCCGTCGGGAGCGTTTCAGGCTTTGAGCGAGCGAGAGGATGACGCAAATTGAATTTTAAGGGCACAAGATAAAACAGCTGCTTCGTTTTCACTGCAGATGTGCTGCGGGCGGCACGCATTAGCTCCACCGAGGAGGGCTACAGCCATCTGCTTCCCCATAGTGTCTGCGTGGGCAGGGCCACCAGGTTGCTTGGGCTCCCAGGCCACCCAACAAGGGAGCCAGGTAGGGCTGGGAAAAGGGCTTTGAAGACGTGTGATGTCCCCAGAAAACGCGAGTCGAGGAATTGCTTATTTCTTGGAGGAGCGATGCAGAGAGGGAGATGGAGACGAATTACCTTTGGCTGCCCCATCTCTCCTCCGAGAAATGCCCGGGGAAGGTGACTCTCTGTGGCATGTCCCCGTCCCCTCCGGCGGCCGCCCTGTCCCGGCCGCGCGGTGCGAACGGGAGAAGCCGCGGGAAGCGAGGGAAGACACTTCCTCCAGCGGCGGATCTGAGGTCACCTCCTGGCCCTTGATCCCTCCAGCCCGGGGTATTTGGGTCAGCGGGGAAGCACAGCTGAGAGCGATGTCCCTTCCTTCTCTCTCCCTGGAGATTAATTTTTAAAGGAACAAATAGGCTCGGCCGTAAGTACTACGCAGTATGATTTTTTAATTATGTTTTTTGGAACAATGAGCTAAATACCGGGGGGGGGTGGGGGGGTGGGGTGTTGGATCTGCGTCTCGGAGCAGTGATGTTTTCCCCTGTTGTTTCTCCCCTTCCTGTGCCCACCTTGCTTTGCTCCGCCACGACCAGAAACCTTTTTCTGCTCAGGAAAATGGTGGCAAGTAAGGAACTTTTCATCCTTTTGGGATGGCCTTGCTGGAAAGAAAGCTGTTCGGGTGTCTGGTGCATGGGACCTGCCTGGACCGACGCTGGGGGCCCTGCCCACCTCTTCCTGCCATGAACACATGGACGTGGTGCTCACAGCCCTCCCCGGCCCCTCAGCACTGCCAGCCCCGTTGCAGGTCCTGACCCCGCCACGTGCCAATCCTCTGCCACAGGGTCCCCAGAAGCATTGTCACCCATGGGCAGGAGGAGGACCTGGTGGGCAAATGGGTCATCTCCCCAGTTTTTATTCCATTTTGATCCCAGAGTGAGTGGTGCCGAGGACGACGTCTTGGCTTGGCCATGTTACCCACATCTACGCCGCTACATCGCAGTTCCCCTTGGAGATCCTCAACCACTGTATTCCCCTGTCCATGTTGAAGGCCACGTTGCTTTGGCCCTGCCACGGCCCAACAGTTCAGCCGTCTTTGTTAAGTCAAGGTGAGACGGAGCAATGTGTGGAGCTTCAGCTGGAGCTTTACCCTGTGCGTTCCCGCCGTGCCAGGGCTGCAGGTGGGATGCTCTCCTCGGTCAATCTCTTTGCTCCAGCAAAGGGGCACCAGCCCCATGCCAGGCTCTTCCCGCACTCCAGAGCATCCCCAGGGCCATCAGGAAGGTCCCGTCAGCTGTGGAGGAGGCCTGGGCTGAGGTGGCAGCTCAGGCTGCTGCTGGCCCCCAGCCCGCTGCTGGACCGAGCAGCGAGGAGTGGGCTGCGTGCACCCGGGGCGGGGGGGGGGTCACGGCTCCCCAGCTGCTGATTTATTGCCTTCAGGAGGGGCTGCGGGTGGGAGCTGGGTGTCATGGACATGGCTGGTCTCGGCATAACTCGCAGCGCCAGGCAGGGTCAGCAGAGAGGTGAACCACCTCTAATAATGCCAGCACCCAAGTCAGAAGTCGTCTTCATTTCCCCTAGCAAAAGGGGAGTGCTGTAAATGCCTTTTTTTTAAACTAAAAAAGTGGTTTCTGATGCGTTTAGGATTTCTGTAAAGGCATCCCTTGGAGAGAGGGTTTCTTGGACATCGCCAGCCGGGTCCCCCCATGGCACCCAGCCAGGCAGCTCCAAAACCAGCCCCTTCAGCTGGTGCTCCCGGGAGGTGGTTGGACTCACGGCACCTTGAGATTTGATCAAGTCTTAACCTGACTCCTGTCCAAGTTCTGCACAGCTCTTGAGCTCCTTCCAGCCCTTTCCTCAGCTGGATTTGCTCCATCGTTTCTTTTAGGATCTGCTTGATCATACCGCGCTGCTGATAAGGCTTCGTGCCTCTTGTGGGGGCTTGTCTTTGTGTGTTTCAATATCTCACCCAGGTTATCAGCCACAGAGGGTTGTGAGGTGTGGCTGGGCTAGGAATTAACCATCTCATCCAAACCCCGTGGAAATCAGAAGCAAAGATTTGCCTTTTTTTTTTTTTTTTCCTGTGGGCTTTAAATCAAGTTGTAACTTCTCCAGCATAGGAGGAGCTGCCGAAGGGAAGCCCTGACTCAGGCTGGTTAAGCCCTGTCTGGTTTCCACTGGAGGAATGGCTGCCTCTGCCCTTCATGTCCAAGAAAGTCCAAGAGAAACTTCAATACTGTGTTACTGAGATTGCCAAAAATAAACCCTTCATCCAGGGGCTCTGGCTCCACGTCCACAGGGGCAGGTTTGGGGCTACACTTCACCTGAACCCCGTTTTTTTATTCAACCCATGGTTTTCTGCCATGGCTTTCCTCCAGCCTTGCCCTGACCCAGGTGAACGGAGATCACCGCCGTCACGCTGGGGCTAAAACGGGGGCAAATTGTGCAACCTGGGACTGTTTTGGTGTGAATCACACCGGGACCGGAGCCGGAGCCGAGGCGGCTTTCTCCTGCCCCCAGATTTTGCCAAGGTTTCCTTCCAGCGCTGGAGCTCGCCCAGCCCTCCCGGCTTCCCGGGGCTTCGCTGGGAAGCGCTGGGAAGACAAAACCCCGCTCTGGAAGTGAGGCTATTGTTCTTACTAATTTTAACTTGATGTTCTTCCCCAAGCCTATTTTTATTCATTGCTTGTGGTAAGCCCTTTCTCTAAGGTAGAGCAATTTGCCACGGGACTCTTTTTTTGTGTTTACCAATTTTAATTGAGCGATATCTCCTTTTTACAAACCCAAAGCTGGAGGAGCTTTTAAGCGCCCGTTGCTGAGCCTCTCACCCCAGGTTTGCTTTGATCTCCGCAGGTGAGTGTGCATTTTTGGGGCCAGAGATTGATACTGCTTATTTGCATGTAAATCTCCGGGTTATTAAGATCAGAATCTGGCCCTTTAAATTTAATACTTTGCTTTATGCTTTTATTTCCGCGTTTCTTAAAGCAATTTCCAAAAATAACAAACTTCAAACATGACGGGGCCATCTAACGTTTTACTGCCTTGGCTGGAGTAGAAGGAACATTTCTGGAAGTATATTATCCAATTTAACGAGCCTTTCCAATCTTGGCTTTGCTCCCACCCCTCACCCCCTCTTGGAGTTGTTTTGGACGGCTCTTTGGAGCCGTGCCACCTAATCCTATTAGAAGGACTTTCATTACACTGTGCCTTGTGTTTATAACCAAGAAAATCAGCCGGAGAGGGGGGTCCTCTCCCTTGCCCTCACCCTTTTGCATTTCGCCTGGTGTTGAGACGAGAGCCCGGTGAGTCCCACGAGGTTCCTGCACAGCCCTTGCTTTTCTTTTTATTGCTCTGCTCTGCATTTATTAAGGAAGACTTCAGAGTAAATTGGGTCCTTGCAAACTTATAATTAATTTGGAAGGGTCAGTTATTCCCAGGCTAGCGAGGGCTTCTTTGTGTGGTCCTTTTTGAAAGGCAGAGATTGGAGAGGCCATTATATAGCCGGGATTTGCTTTTAATAGGGACCTGGCTATTTTCTGAAAATCTCACAGCTCTTGAAGGATGTTGTTATTGTACAGGGCTGTGCTAAAAGGGTTTGCAGAGCACTCGGTTTGGGTGCAAAAAAATCAATCCCAAAGAAGGAATAAAAAAAGTAAGGAGCACAACATGTCCTAGGGTCTGTGCGGGCCAGGTCGCGCTCGGTAGCCCAAAGCCAGCACCTGAAGCTCGGAGATGCTCTGGAAGGTCCCCCTGCTTGGGTGCAGGGTAGGGCTGGGGGCCCCTTGTCCGTGCGTTTGTCCTGCTGCCCTGTCTCCTCAGAGCTCATAGACTGAGATTTTATTTTCCTTACCACGTTGCTTTTCTTGAAAGCCTCCCCTTCCTCCCCAAAATAGTCACAGAAACCATTAAAGAGAGAAGTTGGAGGGTAGGAAGAAAACAACAGGCTGCAATAGTCTGCGAATAATAAGTTTCTGAAAAATGCCAGCCAGCTTGCCAGTGGTTTTCTCCAGAGGTGGGTTGGAAGGAGACATGAGATCGTGGTCCCACCTGGGCATCACCAGGGATGTAATCTAACCTGGCACAACCCGTGTGTCTCCCATCAGCTCAGCTGCAATGAGAAATCCCCACTGACCGGGGGGCGAGGGAGAGGCGAGGCAGTCCTGTCTCTGCGGAGCAGTGATGGGTGAGCATGGTACCTGGAAATGCAGAGCTGTAATTCAAGATATAAAACTCTTCATAGCCAACGCCAGGGAGCAGAGGGCTCCGAGGAGGGGGGCTTTTGGCTGTGGAGACGTCCTCTGTGGAAGCAGCGTCAGTGGAGGAGGTGTTAATACACAGCAAGGGCTGTTAGAAAAAAAGCGTTGAAAGCTCAGCACCTTCCCTAGGACGTGTATGAACCCAGGGAGGGGTGGGAATAAAAGGAAAACCTGGCCGTGCCTCCCTCGCACGGGCGAACAGCGAGCCGCTGCCGATTGCACCCTGGCCGTGATGGTGGTGGGCAGCGCAGACGGTCACTGTGTTATTTATGAGCTGCACTGTTAATTAAAAGTGTGACGGGGCTGCTTCTCTGCCAAGACCACCTTCAAAGCTGGAGCCGGTCCCTGGTTGGTCCCCTCCTGGCCCTGGTTTGATGTCCCACCCTGACCATTGCCTTTCTTCTCTCTCTCCCTAGCATGGGTCGGCTCCTTGGCCATGGGCATGATTTTTTTCTGCTCTCCCATCGTCAGCATCTTCACCGACCGGATCGGCTGCAGGACCACTGCAGCCTCGGGAGCTGCCATCGCCTTCATCGGACTCCTCTCCAGCTCCTTCACCAAGTAAGGCTGCAGAAGGGCAGGCCAGCTCCTCGGCGAGCTCCTCTTCCTCACTGTTCCCTGCAACCCTTCTGCCTACACATTGCTGCTGCCTTTTGGGGCAAAGCAGGTGGTTTCCATTCAGACGAGAGGTCTCCTGGCATCTTGACAGCCCCTGCGCAGCCCACATGCGCACAGCCTGCTTCTCTCCAAATTGAACCAAGTTGCTCTTTTGTCCTTATATAACAAGAGAGAGAATTTTACCTGGGCGAGGGGCTTTATTTTATGGGATTTCATCCCTCAGGTCCTTCATTTGATCTTTAAAACAGGCAGCGAGGAGTTGGTGTGCCTCTTGCAGGGAGCTCCAAAAAAATGCCGGTGGACAAAACCGACCTGCTTTGCAACCAGTTTCACATTTGGTACTGAAAGTAAATTAATGCTTAAAATAATATTCGATGGGTTACACCTGGGGAGAAGGAGTATCCACGCAGGGCAGAGGGAGGGGGATGCAGATGGTGTTTGGAGCAGTTGGTGCTGTTCCCACACCGGCTCGGGTGCTCGCAGCAGCACGGGGCAATTGCTGCTCCTCGTTTTCCGCAGCTGAACCCACGCCATGAGTTTCTGCTGGCAGGTGCTCGCCGATATGCATCTGGATGGCAGGTGTACCTGATTCCATGTGAGAGTCTTTTCAACCCAAAGCATTTGTGGAAGCAAAAAGAGGTCACCTCTGGGGTCCTTTACGTGGCACTTGTTCCATGGAATCTCAAAGGCACCGTGGAAACACCCTCCAAAGCATCATTTGCCTGAGCTTGTCTTGAATAAAAACATTGCTTTGGGTTGGGTTTCACTTAAAATCAATATTGTTTTAATTAAAATGCTTCAAGAAGTGGGGTTTTTAGAAGCAAATACACACTAGTTTCCCGGAGGGCGACTTGCCTGTGCTGTGCTCCTCCCTGCCCACCCTGCCCACGCGGGGCAGTGGGACACCAGCTCCTTTTTACTCTGGTCAGCGAGACCCTCGTGCTCACCCCAACCCTGGTTCCCTGCGGATATGCACTGTGTGATGGGTCCCTGAGTCCCCAGCTGCGGGACACCCCCCCACCCCCCCCCATTTCACTGAGAGTGGGGGGAGGCAGTTTCTGAGCCTCCCAGCAAAGCCCTGGGGCTGATCGCAGGCAGGGAACTTGGGATGCTAAAACCATCTCAGGCAGCAGCATGGGCAATGGCGTGGAAGGAACCACCCTCTGTGACTTCCTCCGCAGATGCCACCCCTTTGTATTTCAAAGGATAATAGTAATCGGGAAAAGTGCAGCTGGTCCTGAGGGAAAGTATGCCCAGGCTCCGGGCAGTGCAGATCACAGGCGCTTCCCATGTAATCCTGCTTTCCTTCTAATCAACGAAGCTTGGACTTTTATTCCCCTCCCTCACGTTGTAAAACATTCGTGCAAAGAAAAAGAGCTCTTGGGATCACATTGCTGCCAGCAGCTTGTTGTGTGGGGCATAAAAAAAAAAAAAATCAAAACAGTACAGGCAGAGAAGAGTATTATTTCCAGAAGAGCTACAGAACTGAAATCCCCATTTCCTGCCTTTTTGCTCTCAGTTCACATTCCTTTGGCTGCCTTTTAAGGGAGAAAGGAGCCCCTTTGCAGCTGGACCGAGGTGAGGGAAGCTGCCTTCGGCACAGCCGAGCTGGAGGAAGAGCTGCGAGGCTGCAGGATTTGGCAGCACTCCATCTGGATGGTGAAGGCTGGTCCAGAAATTCAGAGCTAGCAGCTCCTGCTCACTCAGAACAATGGAGATGGAGGTTTTGGGTTGTTTTTTTGTTTGGTTTTTTTTTTCTTTCGGTCTGCCTTGCCAGGTCTCTGCATCTGGAGCTGGAGATGACCCACCCAGCGCCAGCTGGGCTGCATGCACCGGTGGGAAGGGAGCTGCTGTTTGTAAGCTGCTGCTGTAAAGGGACATGCAGCCTGGGTTTGGTGAGCTCAGGCAGGGCTGGATCAAGGCTAATCAACCCTTTATCTCCCGGTTTCTCTGAAATGGGTTTACTTTGTCCAAACAGAGGAGCAGCGGTTCCCGGCACCGCACTGAGCTGATCCAAAAACCTGCTCAGCCACTGAGCCTGCACGGCAGGACCCCAGCACCCAGCTCACACTCAGGGCCTCCTACTCTCCAAATACTGGGAGTTCTGTACAAAGAACACTAAATAAACAAAATAGGCTGAAACGCAGAGCTCTGGGGAAGGCTGAGGTTTTCAGGCAGGGGTCAAGGCAAGGCTTGCACCAGGGTGCCTCCTGCGCTCGTAATCAGCTCGAGCCACCGCAGATCTTATGTGCCCTCAAGAAATCCCAGTTGTGTTAAGACGTCACCTTCCCTCCGGTTTTAAGGGGGACGTTTTAGCGCGGGGAATAGGAGATGATGGCCAGTTCAGCAGGGCTGTCTGCATATGCCGTCCAGTGCCCTCCCAGCCCTCCTCTTCACCGTTAAGTGTTCCGTACTGGGGTTTGAGTCGCTTTTCATCTGTCTCTCCTTCCCCTCCGCAATTTCTGCCCACTTTCTCCCACAGAGAGAAATCCCCCAAACCCCTGCCAGCAGGGCCGTTCCTGTTGTGAGCTTTAAGTGAGAGGCAGCCGTTGGAAGGAGACCTCCTTGTCCCAGGAGATGTTGTTATCCATGGGAGACCTCGTTATCCGAGGAAGACGATGCCGCTCTTCCCACTGGAGAGCAGCGGGTTGATTCCCAGCAAGCAGGGTGGGAAATCCTAAGGGCTAAGAAGCATGGCTGAAAGGAGCCCCTGCTCACACAGGGATGTCTTAACATCAACGAGGAGCGGATGGGAACTGTGGCATTTGTCTCCACTTATCCAACACGGCAGCGTAGCTGCAGTACCAAAGCTGGTGTGACCCAGCAGGGATGGCCAGGGCTGGTGCGTGGGAGGTCGGAGACAGCCTGCATAGCCCAGCTGCTTGCCTGGCTCCTGCAGAGAGGATTTCTGATGTGGCTTTGTTCTGGAGTAGCTGGAAATTGTCTTTCATGACAGTCATTTGTCTTTGAGCCTTTGGGTACAGCGAGCATGTTCTGCTTTCTGCTTGGCAAGCTAAAGAGAGGAGCATGTAATGGAAGAAATTATGTGCTTGTCAATGTTTTCTCAACTTCAAACTACTTTGTTAGGTCTGGGCTGCTGTCTTCTCGCCTGCTTCATGAGCAGCACTCAGTATTTCACAAGTGGTTCTGAGCATTGGAGCAGAGACCCGCTTGGTGTGGCAGCGCTTGCCCGGTGAGCTGCCCAGATGTTTCCATCGCACTCTCCTCCCATGCAGTATTTCATGTCAGGCTTTTGCAGCTGAATGTATTGCACGGGGATGAAGGAAAAAAACCTTCATCTGGAGAGAAACACAATGGGTTATTTGCACCACCTAAATTTAGGCTAATTTCTCAGCTCCTTCTGTTGGGAAAACAGGGCTTGACAACTGGGAAAAGGCTCCTTCCAAGAGTTCTCAGGACTTTTTACCTGTTCTGTGGAGCAGCCACTTGGCTCCCTCCTCCAGTGCAGCCACCAGTGTAAGGTACAAATGAAATCTATTAACTGTCTAATTGAAACTCCCAAAGGAACTTAAAGAAGAAAAACTTAATTAACCAGCCTGGAGCCTGGGCAGAAACACAATGTTTCCTTCCTAAGTCCCTAAGAACCAGCAGGGTTGGTGCCTTCTGCTTTCAAACACTGGGTGCAGAATGTTTTCAATTAGTCCTTTCAGTGGAAAAAAAAAATGGATTTCTAGCTAAAAATAACCTGCCCTGCCTACCTTAGAAAATCTTGCTCGCTGTAATTTAAAAACCATTCAAGTTAGGTCAGCTTCCCAAGGAGGGCAGGTTGGTTGCTGCCTTCTCTTTGCAGAAAGCAGTCCCCAGCTAGACCGTTTTCCCAAAGATTTAACATGCCAGCTGTGAAATGAGGATAATCCTTGCTTTGGCTAGAGAATAAGCTCCTCGAGGTCAGACTGTCTGTGAAGCACCTGTTGTATGTGAGACCTGGGTCTCAACTCCAGGTTTTGCAGGAGAAGGCGTCCTTACCGCTGTGTAACGTAACAAACTTGATGGTTTTGTTAGTTGTGTTTTTTTTTTTTTTTTCTTTTCCCCCACTAGGTCTCTGGAAGTTCGTTATTTCACGTATGGAATCCTCTTTGGCTGCGGCAGCTCTTTTGCCTTCCAACCCTCGCTGGTTATCCTTGGTCACTACTTCAAGCGCCGCCTTGGCTTGGCCAACGGCATCGTGGCCGGTGGCAGCTGCCTCATTTCCGTGCCGCTCCCCTTCTTCCTGAAGATGGTTGGGAAGGCCATTGGGCTGGCTCATACTTTCCAAGTACTCAGTGCCTTAATGCTCATCCAGATATTCTTGTCCCTGACCTATCGGCCCATCTTGCCACCATCTTGTGACTCTCAGCACGATGGGCAGGACAAGCTGGGCAGCCGGAGCATGCGGCAGCAGTGCTGGTCCCAGACGCGCAAGTATTTCAACTTGAGGGTGTTCCGGAGAAAGACCTATCGGATCTGGGCCTTTGGGATCGCTACTGCTGTCCTGGGATATCTTGTACCTTACATGAACCTGGTAAGAGCCTTGGCTGGGACTGGAAGGGGAGGGAGGTCCCTTTGCCCGGAGCGAAAAGTCTTCTCCATGCAAGCGAGGAGGAGGTGGGCAGTAGGGACAGAGCCACCAGAAGCCTCAAAGCGAAGAAACTGCTGCAGGCGCATCCTGTAAATAGGAATAGTGATGGGGGGAGACAGCTTTTTAATGCTCCTGTGTGTCCTCTGCGCCAGGGTGGGCAGAGCAGTCGCTTCTCATGGCTCCCAAGGACAAGCATGGGTAGCAGGATGGGGGTGTTGGGTTTGGGGTGGGCAGAGGTTGTGGGTGGAGGTCAGTGTGGTGTGGACATGAGGGTCACACAACCACCCCAAAGCCACGAGCCCTCTGCGGGAAGACTTGTCCCTTCTCAGGATATGAGCGGGATTCACTTACTGAGAATTCATGTCCTTGTGTCCTTCCCTCCATCCTAGGTAAAATACGTGGAGAAGCGCTTTCAAGAAACCAAAAAGGACTGGATTCTCCTGGTTTGCCTCGGAGCTATGTCAGGGCTGGGGCGTTTGGTTTCGGGTCGTATCGGTGACTGCATTCCTGGGCTGAAGAAGATTTACCTGCAGGTATGTTGTGTCTGACCCTCCACGTAGCTGCTGGCTCACCACTGTAGGTCAGGGGCTAGTATTTCTACATCAGTATTGACACAGCTTAGTAACTGCTCACAACAGATCACAAATCCTTTACCGACCATTCCCTAACACCCTTGTCTGCTGTTAGGGAAGAGAATTTATTATAGAAAGGTGTACAGAGAAGTGACACACTTGACCTGAGGTCTCGGTGTCCATTCAGCAATCAAACTCTGTGGTGCCAACTCTTCCCAAACTGCTGGACATCCTCTCACCTTCTTGTGGTTTTTGAATAACACACTGCTGAAATCTGGCAGCTAATCCAGCAAATAATCCTTCCTAAAGCTTCTTAAAAGGTTATTCTTAAAGGCCTCTCCAAGACGAGAGCAGAGGCTGGATGGCATTGCTGGGTCCAGAAGAGGGGTCAGTGTTGTTGACTTGTTCAGTATCATCTTCCTGACACTTCCTGCTGCCCATCCCCACCCATCCTGCACCCCAATGACATGCCCACTTTTGTTTCCCCAGGTTGCATCCTTCATGCTGCTGGGCATCCTGTGCATGATGATCCCCCAGTGCCAAGGGTTCGAGGGCGTCATTGTCATCTGCCTCTTCCTTGGCCTTTGCGATGGCTTCTTCACCACCATCATGGCCCCCATTGCTTTCGAGCTGGTGGGGCCCATGCAGGCGTCCCAGGCCATAGGGTACCTCATGGGGCTGATGGCTGTGCCCATGACCGCGGGTACGCCGATAGCAGGTTGGTAGCACCACGGTGCCGGACCTGGACCCAGATGTTGGGAGTGAGCAGATGCTTGTAGCAGCTTTTACGTGTGGTAATACTTTGGCGTGAGACCAGACGTGCAGTTTGGAATTTTCTGGCCCATTGTGTCACAGGGGGGTTGAAGTATGGGGTGTAGCATCACTCCATGATACATCCCGTAGCATCTCAGGGCCTTTCTCTGGGCTGATAAGTGACCAGCGGGGAACAGTGAGAGCAACTCCAGATCACATCAATTGATTTCTGTTTGGAGCTCAGCTAGAAATTGACAGATATTAGTTTTCCAGACATCCTTTTAGATATCTGGGGACTGATTGCTAATTGGTAAATTCAGCCTCTGGATTGTTCAATCAAGGTTAGAGATGGAGATACGTGAGTTTCTGTCTTCCCAAGACCCGGGTATGTGTTTAAGCATAGGAATAACCACAACATCCTTAACAGCTATCACTTTGCCAAAGCTGGCCCTTGAACGGCAAAATGTCTGCATCAGCAATTGCTAAGCTAAAGCTGTATAAGCACCTCTGATCTTTCTGCTTCTGGCAACAAAATTCAGTTTAACGCCCTCGTGAAGGAACATGATGGGTTGCAGATGTCTCGCTGTTGGGGTGCTGCTGCAGGACCCCCTGCATCGGGCTTGCGAGGCACAGGGCTGGGTGAAGGGGCTCATGTCATGGATGTAAACCTCAGGCAAGTGTCTACGCAAGAGAAAACTCAGAGGGATTTTCCAGTGCTGATGAATGGCAACACGTTATTCGCCAAGGATGCCTGGCTGTGTCAGAACTTGCTGAACTAACAAGTGCAGAACTTCATTGGTTTTTAAGGGATCGGTTATTGTTTGTGACTTGCAACATGTATTTTTTAGCTGACATCCCCTTGTAGATGAAATATTTGTAAGCAAAGCAGGGCTTCCAGACGGAGGCAATCTGCAGAGGAACAGTCCCTGCCCACTTTTCCTATTACCTCCTAGCTGGCAAGACGCTAGGAAGAGCCACCCGAAATGTTTAGTTGTTTAACACTGTCTCAGCTTGCATTTGGGATTGTTTGGGATGTGGGTGATTGCGTCCAGCTCTGATTAAGTAGGAGGGATGGCTGAGGCTTTCCTTCTTGGCTTCCTTGCTATACAAGGTTGGCCGCGTACATCCTTTAATCCAGGGCATAAAAGCTCCAAGGAATGCAATGGGGAAAAAAAAAAAAAAAAAAGACTGTTTTAAAAACCCAAATCTCCCCAAAGCTGGTGGTTGAAGCAAGCTGCAGCTCTCTCTCGAGGGAGGAGATGAGTCGGTCATTAAACTGACGTGGCTACAACAGCCTTTGTTCTTCTCTTTCAGGATACCTCAATGATTATTTTGGGAATTACGACGCAGCCTTTTATTTTGCCGGAGTCCCCCCCATCATCGGCGGCTTGGTGCTCTCCGTCGTCCCGCTGGTCCATCAGAGGATGCTGAAGAAGCAACGTCTGGATTCAGGCAAAGACAAGATGCTGGTGTCGGAGGCGGTGGTGAACGGGGAGCTGCTGCCGGGCTGTCCTGCCTCCGAAGCACACATGTAAACCCTCCGCTCCCCGACACTCCCTGTCGCCACCAGCAGCCCCTCCAGAGCCCAAGCACAGGCCCTTTTCTAGACGGACCGTAATTCTCACTGATCGCCGATGCACTATGTTTGTTAAGGAAAGAACATAAAAAGTTCTTCTAGTTAAAGGCTTTTAACTAGCAGAAACGCTCTTTTTTTGGGACAGTTTTGATTTCAAAGCCGCCTTTTTGGTTTGGTTTTCTCTCTTTTTTTTTTTTTTTTTTTTTTTTTTTTTTCCCCCCCTCTAACCATTTTTCTAAGGAGAACTCTCACCAGGATTCAAACTTGATTGATCTCCCGCCCCGCTCCCTGGTTTTCTATACGTCACAACAGAGGTTTACAGCTAATAAATGCCTTTTTAAAGCAGGCCACAGATGGAGCTTGTTGAACCTTGCAGCGGTCCATCCTTCTCCTCTGGTGTCACTTGGGTGTCACGTCCGAGACAGCCCCCTTCCCGTCCGACACCAGAGGCTGTTTTGGAGCCAGCAGATCTGAAGGAGGAAATGCTGCTTTAGTCCAATGCACAAACCAAATAAATGGTCGGCGAGTCCCGCTTTAATCTTCTTCTCTCCTCCTTTTCCGCTGCTCTCCCACACACCCAGGGAGCTGCAGCTGGGACGATGGGGAGCTCGGCCAGCTCCAGTCCTGCCGCCCTCCTCGAACGGAGCCTCACGCAGCACCCCCTTCCTGCAAAATATGCCTTAAAAACGCGTGGACAAGACCAGCACGTCCCCTCGGCCACTTTCTGCCTCCGTTTTCTCGCCCGGCGCCCAATGATTGGGCTTTTTGACGTGCAAAAGAGAGGGGCAGCTCCCAGCGCAGCCCATGGCGGGCGAACCGTGGGCAAGCCGCCGAGACGGGCACTTTGGAGGCGTCAAGGCACGCAGGGTTGGGACAGAGCCCCGCGTGCCATGGGTTCGCTCCGTGCCGGGAGGAGCATCCCTGCGCCCAGGGATGTGGGGATGCAGCCGGCTCGGGGCGCAGGGTGCCACCGCTCTTTTTTTTTTGGTGTGTGGGGGGGGCTAGTTGTGTATTATGCAGCAATAACCACAAGTCAGTGTTGGCAGGGGAAGCTCGGTGTTTCCAAAAGGTTTAAAAGCTCTGGCGGCGTTTAACTCGTAGCCCGTGCGTTGCCGTGCAGGGGCAGTGCTGTCCCCAGAGGGGAGAGGGGGCGAGAGCTCAAGAAAATAGCACAGCCCATGGGTACCCACCACACAGAGCGCAGGCAGAGCTCAGCCTCATGTAGAAATTCATCATCTCCAGGCATTGCTAACGAGCGTGGCACAGAGCAAGAGAAGTCCTCCTGCCCCAGTGGGTCCCCATGTGACCGAGGTGCTGACTGGGACCGGGGTACATTTTCCTGGGAATAATAAGCAAGAAACAAAGCTCGTACTTCTCCTGGCTGCAAAACCATCCTTCATTGGATTTTTCCTTTTATTCACCTGCCATTAAAGAATGAGAAGCCTAACGAGGGACATGGTGCCATGGGAATCATCCCTCAGTCCCTGGGTGAGTGTGGGGGTTTGTAACACCAAGACAAGGCTTTGCTGTGGAAACTTGGTTTCAGTGGAGGACCCTCCTGCGGGCAGCGGTGGGACCTTTGTATATAGGCTCAGGATCCTGCATGCCCCTCTGGCCCTGTTTTTAATCCACGTAGGCTAATGCATTATATGGTCTTGTGGTCTTGTGGCCCTTCTGTCCCCGTAACGAGCTGGAAAATTAACTGGCGTGTTGTGACGTGTCTGTTTATGACTATAAAACGAGATGTCCGTTTGTCCCTTCCTTCGCTACGCTTTTCTGTGACTGTTATGACCCTTCCCTGCCCATATTGCATCGTCTGCTATGGCTCCGCTGACCCATCGCTTGGGTTAGGAAGCGGCAGGAGGCAGCAGGAGCCGAGCCACGGTGCCCTTGCTCCCGTGCCAGTGGGATCTACCAGGCTTAGCCTAGGGCAGGGCATTAAAGTGATGCTTTTCAAGTGGGACCGTTGGCAGTGGGGCATCTTCAAACCGTCTGACAGCTGAAGGAAAGAAATCCGTTGCATCGTAACTCCTTTGGTGACTTTCGGGGCATTTATTCACATCAGAGCTAGATGAAGTTCTTTAAATCATATTTTTGAGCTTAATGCCCCCCGAAGGAGAGCTTATGAGGGATTTAAATTCAAGAAGTAGCTTCTTCAGACCAACAAGAGGATGAGCAGAGCTGCCTCAAACCCACATCTGGCCTGAGCGAGCGGCTGCTCAGCAGAGCTCACCAATGACTGCACCCAGCTTTGCATGAGACTTTGTTGCGGTAAAACCTCTCTGGCTCATAAGGCAATTTATGGTTCAAATCCCAAATTTCTACAGATTTCCACTTGCCTTAAATGCTCCGCCTGCCTGCAAAGGTCTTTGCCCCAGCAGGAGCCTGAATTCGGTGCAACGGGTGCTTAACGCTGCTGCAGCATCAGCCCAGCTCTGTGTCAGCCGGGAGCCAGCGCTCTTCCCAGGGGGGATGGTGGTACCCACATTCATCCCCCCCCTCTAAATTCTGCTCTTTGCCCACAGCTCTTATTATCAACCCTCTAGGACATTTTGAGTGACAAGGTGCATTCATGGGCCACCCAAGTTTGGCTGAAGGAATCTGCCCCCCTATCCTACTGCAGACCAGTGTCTGGTACCAGCCTCCCAAACCCACTCTCAGCATCTTTGTCTGGTTGAGATCCTGCTCGTGGTCAAGATGAGGGCAAATTCTGCAGCGGGGAAGGCATGTTGGAGCAACAGCAATGAAAGGTTCTCCTCGCCTGCAAACACAGATGGGAACGGGAAGGGCAAAGTTTGGAGTAGTCTGTCGACACGAAGGGGAGTATTTTTGGGGTTTGTTTGTCAGCTAAATGCTGCTGCTGTTTGTTAAGTTTGTCCCCTGAGTTATGAGGAAGCTTGCAAGAATTTTTGCAGACTCGTGGCACGTGAGAGGTGGGATTGTGGCGATCTGAGCAGCTATAAACCGGGAGAGATTGCATTGGTCTCCGAAACATCCTTTTAGCCTGTTGTAGTCTGATGCTGTGACACCAAATAGGTCCCTACCTATTGCAAAAAGCTTCATCCTAAAACCCCTCCTGTTTCTTCCCATCAGGATCTGCTTATCCTAGCTCAGCACATCCATGTCCTCCTCTGGGCACGTGAGGGCTGAATGGGAGGCAGCGTTCACAGCAAAAACTACCTTTTACTCCGTTTTCTAATAAAAAACCCAAAACAAAACAAACTACTCCCCTCCTGCGAGTGCCGGGCTGTGATTCCTGCCCTACTCCCTTGCTCCAGGAGGGGACGGTGGAGCCCGATGCTCGGCCATTTTTGGGAGCCAGCGAAGGCACGGGAACAGGTCAAACCCCACGGGTGAGAAGAAGGTGGAAGGGAGCAGGGAGGGAGCAGCTTTGCTCCATGCCCGAGGTGTTTGGGGAGCTGCAGGCACGCGCGTAGCCTTATGTAAGTGTACAGCAAGCGCGGGACGTGTCCCAGCAGCGCTCTGCTCCGGGCTTGGCTGGGGCTGTCTTTCTAAATCTTTAGCTTGAGGGTGTTCAAAACCAAGTTGTTGTCTTTTCTTCTTTTCTTTTCTTTTCTTTTTTTTTTTTTTTTTTTTTTTGTTGTTGTTGCTGCTGCAGAGCGAGGCGCCGGGTTTAACTCCTCTCACTCTGGCTGAGGGATGGAGCGGGACAGCCAAGCTGGAAGGGCTCAGGACGGGTGGTGGTTGTGTTTTCAGCCTTTCGGGGCTGCCCCGGTGATGGGATGGCTGGCAGGGCAGGGGGAACTGCCTGGGAAGTGCCACGATTCATGGCTTAGAGCTTTTTTGAGTTGTGAAACAAAGCTAGAACCATCTGCAGGAGGTGCTTCATTGCAGCGTGCCCTGCCCTGAGGTCCTGCGGCCAGGGAAATACACGTCTGTAAGTCACATAGCTTAAATTTAACAAATTCTGGCCACTCACTGGTTGGGGTTGAGGTTTCCTAACATTTCCCTGCTGTGGGAAGGCCACATCCTAATTGCCATCAAAGCTTGAGGGCTTTTTCAGGTCTGCTGCGGTACCATGGGGCTTGGGGACCCCCAGTTTCAAGATGTTTTGGCTCTGCCTCTCACCAGCATTGTGGTTTGGGGCTGCGAGCAGTTGAAGAGCTTCTTAACCCTCCGGGCTGAGCTGCCTGGTCTGGAGGAGCTGGGAGAGAGAGGTTGCCTGCAGCTGGGCAAGGACATTCCTGCTCTTCCGTGCGTGACAGTGCCACAGGAGCATTTTGCACGGCGATAGAGGACCTCTTCTGGCATTGGTACATTGGTGCTAAGAGCGATTTGCTCTGGGCAGTCTGATTTGGTGCTGAGGGTCTCATTTATGCTTGCTCAGATCACTCCGGTTCAGCATCTTGGGAGGCTGAGGGTGGGTTTTCAGCCTGGCTGACATCTGCATCTATGTGTGGCCATACGGTCCTCCTCGCCTGCCTGAAGGTGAACTTGGACCAAATCCTCTGGCCACAGAGTGGGACAAATCCAGCTGACACCATTGCTGTCCTTCCATCCTTCACTGCAAACCATTACCCGGCTTTCACGTGCCTCTGTACCCAACGGTTTTGTTTGGGGGTTACCTTGGTTATTGTAGCTTCAATAATTTTCACGCTGGCGGAGCGTGCTGCTCCTTATCCAGCTGGAAGCAGAAAACTGGAATGACTTTGAAAGCCCTGGTCCCTTTGCCAAGGCAAGTGGGGCGGCCCCCTCCTGCCGCCGGACCCGCTGCCTTTCTGCCGCAAAATCCCGCACTCGGGCAGCTCTTTTGGGTGCTTTTGTTTAAATCTCGGCCGCCCTTGTAACCTCTGGGGAGAACGCTGTGATTGGCAAGCGCTCCTTAAATATTCCTCCAACGTCCTGCGCGTAACGCCGGGCAGGGATGGAGCTGGCACTGTAGAGGGGCTTCATCGGCAAGCAACGAACCAAAATAGAGCTGTTTCCCTTCTTTTCGAAAGCCCTTGGCAGGAAAGGAGCCGTGGGGATGGAGGGAGCTGCCATCCCTGTGCAGCTCTGAGCGGGCTTTGCGGCTGAGCCCCGGGGGTGGCTGCGGGGGTGACTGTCCCCGTGGCCGGGGGGGGTGAGCAGGGTGCTTTATCAGCTGGGCACGGACTTTAGTCCTGGTGACAGCGAGGTTATCGCTGGGCTTTGGCAGCCTCGTCCTGCACAACCCCTTCCAGGGGGGTTTTGTTGTGTTATTTTTGCAGACGTTGCACTGTCCTTAGTGCTCCCTCCAAGGACGGACACTGCGACTGTCTCCCCCCACCCCCCCCCTCAGTGCCTCCTCTTCCCACCACAGCCAAGCAAAACACCGGCACCGCTGATTGAGGGCATGGGGCTTGGCTCCCCACTCCTGGCAGAGGCAAGGCAGGAGAGAAAAGACACACGGTCCCTCCAGTTTTCTGCAAATCATGGCTTTGGAAGGAGGTTCTGTACCTCCAAAGTGTCTCCTCTTTTTGTAACATACTTCCCAACGCTCACCCTACATCCACCTCCAACCCACAAGGCAAGCGTAGCTCTTAACTGTAGCATTAGAGGCAAGACTTAGTGTCTATTTTACTAAGGAATGAAGCTTTTTTTTTTTTTTTTTTTTTTTTTTGAACATTTTTAATCGTGGCGTGTAAGATGAGTTGTTTACTGGAACAGGATTTTGCGTAGCCTCGATGCTCGGTGACGGCCAGATTGCCTGAATGCAGTTGGGTTTTTGGCTGCCGAGTGCATTCAATCAAACCATTTCAGGAAAGAGCACGACTTCTCGAGGCCTGAACTTTCCCAGCATATCCTGTTTCAGTCATTTGAACCCATTAAAGCCAGAGACAGGACTTTTTTGGGGAGGCCGAGGGCAATTAGGAAATTACCCTGCTCTCCCTCCCCTTGCCCTGAAATCCATCAGGATGAAGCCAAATATTTGCTTTTGGATGGGTGGATTTTTGGAGCCTACTCCACAGAAGAGCCCTGGGGCAGAGGCTTGAATTTTTGCCATTTCGGGTAATTAATGAGAAGTCTTGTTTTTAAAGCGGGCCCTCCCAGCCTGCTGCCATCCCGCCCCAGTTAGTGGATCCTGGTGCCATGCCTTTCTCCAGCCCTGCTGCTCTCCAGGGCTGTCACGGTCGGCATTAACTCCATCGCTGATGGAAAAAATCCTGCCCATGGGTTTTTCGGGGTGGGATACATTGCTTTGCCCTGCCAATGTGCTGGTAACGCTCACCCTCGTGGTGTCTGTACCCATTAGAAAGACTCACTAAAAGGCTGCGAGCACCATCGGTAGCAACCCCGTTTTGGTTTTGTTTTTTTTTTTTCACTGTGTTCCCAGCTCTGGCTCAGCAGGAGCCGTGTGTGGCTCCAGACCGGGTCCTGCAAGGTGCTTGGGGCTGCTGGGCACCCTGGGCAGAGCGGCAGAGCCTGTGGCCTGAAAGCAGCCACTCAATTCGATGCAGAAGTCAGACCCTGAAGTCTAAAATTAATCCTTTTTTTTTTTTTTTTTACGACATCTCCTTGTAAACGATTTATATTCCCTTAAAATTTTGTATCTGGAAGTAAAGTATTTGAATGTGTGTCTTAAAAGTATGACTATCCTTTCAAAATGTGAATTTCTGATTGTTGGTATACAAAAGAAAAAAACTTACCCCATATTAGCACATTTTTGTAATTAATGTTTTATGAATGTTGTTTAAAAAAAAAAAAAATTGTGTAGAATAAAGCCAGTTTAAAAAGAAAAGGGGTCCGTGCCTGTGTCTTGCCAGCTTGTTTCTCACCGTGGCCAGTT